TCTTAATGTAAACTTTTTTTATTTCGTTGACCGTGACAGATATGTGAATTTCCGATTCGGTCGTACATAAATTAGCAATAAATAACTTTTATTGCAACTTAACGCCAATGGTTTTGTGTTTTTTTTTAAAGTTTAACAAATTATTAAAAAAAAAACTAATTTGATTTACTAGCGATCCTGACTCTCGTCATCATTGACTTATATATTACTAGCGTAAGGACCGGGCCGACCGAACAACTAAAACGGACCAGTGCGTTGGCCCTAAAATTACAGTTTAGGGCCAACGCGAATCGGTCGACAGTGGTGCGCGCGCAGGACAGATTTGTCTGTCACAAATATGTCTAGTTGCGTGGTAAAAGAATGCAAAAATTACGATACAAAGATTTAAAAAAACATGGGATATCGTATTATCGGTAAATAACCTTATATTAATTTTGTTACAGTTAAATTATTATATAAACGCATTTTTAAAGTTTTATTTTACAGTTAGTTTAGTTACGTTACCAAGATTAAGCCAGAGTAGCATTCAGACCCTCGAAAATATCGTATATGGAAAATAAAATTATACTATTTTAAAAAAAATTATATCACGTTTGACGTTTCATGTTTTTTTTCCCATGTGGCGGGATTTTGGCGTCACGCTTCTAGTTTATCTATACGTTTCCGTTTTTGAGGGTTTTATTTTATTTCTGTTTAATTTTTGTCTAAAGAACTTAGTGTAAGTTAAATTTTGAACATTGGTATTTGGCACCTAATATATTTTATATTCAGTAAGGGTAAAAGTGAAAAGAGTACTAAAGAAACCATATCTGCTTAAGTGAATCTGAAAATCTGATTCATAAAATATTTTGAAATTCTGTTTTCAAGCCTCGCTTCTGGTGCATGGAGATTTTTTCGTGGTAGCCCCTCATTATAGTTGTATCAAGAATGCAACATAAATGCATCGATCGAGCATCGATTAACCAGAAAGGGAGCTAATTCTAATTTCATTAAAAAAACGCGGTACTCATGTATAATACAGAAATTCTCGATATAGTAGGGTTAGTATTAAAATCTAAAAGTACCCAATTATAATACAATTCGATCTTTATTTAAAATTATGGTATTTTCGCTTAGTATTATTACGATACCATGTACTACTAACTAAGAAGTTGGAACAACTAGGATAATTATATTACGAAATCCGACCCTGGTTTCGTCGTGATTTGTAATGACGTTTATATTACGACATATGCGCTATTTTTTCTTGTATGAAAAAGTTGTGAGTAAAATATTTAGATGGGCCTATCCTTCTTTTTGAATTCATTGCTCGTCATATGATTTCTGAATCTCGACTATAGTGCCACGCACCGGGTACAATGGTGAATCTAAACCATTCTCAAAGCAACTTAATCTTATATACAAAGTCTTATCAAAATCGGTCACATACACACGGACTATATTTTTATTTATTTTTTTAAAGAAAAAGAGTGACTAACGAGCACACAGTTCAGACGGTAAGTTGATGTTGTAGCCCATAGACAACTATATTAATCCTCGATTAAGAATCAAAATGCACATGCGTTGTCACACCTGAGGATTAAATGCAAATCCTCGTTTCCAGTAAAAAAGTTTCCCTGGATTTCTACACTCACCATACGAAACACTGCAGTATTGAGCTGCTATTTTACGCTGGTATTCTGTGAGAGCGTGGTTCTATCCTGGTTGAACCGACCCATTTGTGCTACAACCATAATATAGCTGCAGCGTGGCTCTACCACGTATGGTAGACATTATTTTGCGTTCATCGAAGTAGGTGGTCTATTTCCGACTCTTTCCATGAAATACTATATGTTTTTTAAGTGTATCTACTGTAATCCTTCAGAAAAATACTATAATCAGCCGAAGAAATGTTGGCAACCCTACCTATTGGTATCCCGCATAATATTTAATAGCTAGCATATCCGTACACAACGCTACCCAGATCCTAAAAGTTTTTATTTCATAAAGACCTAAAGTAGCCGACGAATTAAATGTCAGTGTCATATGAGTTAACAATTAACCATGTCTATTTTAACAGTTAAAAAAAACAGAGAAGGTTCTATAATTGGTTTATTTATTATAATATGTCACCGATTTTTCGGCCACGGCTAAACAGATGTGTGATTTTATTATTAAGTTATATTTAAGTTAAAAATAACACTTATAAATTTAAACGATCTTACAAACAATTGTTAGTAACATTTCTTGGAAAAAAATTTATTGTAGTTACTCGTACATGTGCGTGAGCGTACGCAGTATCGGGTAGTCAGGCTTTTCACCGATAACTGATAACTCTGAGAATTCAGTTGGCGCTCCCCTGCACCGTGCGCAGGGGGGGGGGGGGCGTTGGTCACTCTAATTATATTTAAAACTTGTGATATTGTTCTGAACATTCAACGGGAACAATTAAACTTATAATAAAAACTAAACCTGACTTCAAAACTAAGAAAATAATTATTATTTTCATATAAATAACTTATGAAGTGTTTTTCATTCACCGACTTCAGGAGGATGATTATGAGGACTATTAAGGACTATTATTACAATTCCGTAGCCGACTGCAGACAGCAGAGCAGCAAGCGACGTGTTGTCGCGACTCCACTGGTTTCTATGTAGTTCTATGAAATACGTTCCGTAGCTAGCGACACGGTTGCCTAGCGGCAGACGACACTATAGTATAGCCCGACCTCAGACAGTGTTGCCAAATTGACGGGTTTCCCGCTAGATTTGGCGAGTCAGCGAGGTTGGTAACGGGAAAAAATTGTGCTTAACGGCTAACGGATTTTTGAACGAGACGGTCATGGAACTTCTAACCTCCTTGGGGACGATTATAGGTATCTATTATAAAACGGATGTATGTATATACTTTTTTTAAATTTATTAAGAAACCAACAGCGTTCTATATAGTTTACATTAAACAATAGTATTTTTATAATAAGGCCAATAACAGGTTTCCATTAATTACTATGAATATAGCATACTACGGTCGTAATAATTAGTAGCCAGTAGGTATAACCTCATATTTACACTTAAAACATTAAGTTGAATTGTTGCACCTGTTCCCTCAGGCAGCACGCACATTCGAATGTTTCTTAAAAAAAAATCATGAAAAATATGTACATATACAATAATGAAATCATTAACATCACACACTGTTCAACGGCAACAAACAAATACACACGAATACACACATGTTATTTATTTTAACAAACAAATACACGAGGACACACTAGTTATTTATTATACACTAGATTAGCAGTATAATATTATTATTTTACTTTATTTTAAGTTATAAATTATGTTATGTTATTTAATTTTATTTTGGGTTTTAGGTCTAAGACTTTCAATAGCTAAGCGCCTAAAAGCGTTCTTACTGTGGTTAAAAATATCAATTTCTCCAAAAAATTCCCAATGATACCATCTTGAGAATATGTAAACACGTCAGAGTTAAAATCGATACAAATGACATTCTGCAGGTTAACAGAGTATCCCCAAAAGTAAAACTGCCATGTCGATCCAGGGTGATTATTGCCAAAATGAAATCAAGGCTCCTGAAAGATAATCTAATATCTCTATCCCGTAAAAATCGTCTAACCACTAAGGACATTCGGCTAGCAGGTGAAAGCAGACCAATTTTTATCAATGAGCACTTAACCTCTCACAATAATCAGCTCCTAAAAAAGTGCAAAGATTTTGCTAAATCGAGTCAGTGCCAGTTCGTCTGGACAAAAAATGGAAGAATTTTTGTGCGACGAAACGATACATCTCCTGGTCTGCAAATATTCGACGAGGAGGATCTCAAGAAAATTATCACCAAACAATAGTTGATGTCGTTTTTATAATTTTATTATTTTTTCTTATTGGTTTTGGTGTCTATTGTTTGTTTACCTTTACTAATCTTTATCACAACCGTAATAATATAAAAATAGACAATTTAATTGTTTTCCACAATAATATGTTAAATGAAGAAACGTTTTGGTCCCTATTTTCTCTGAAGTTAGTCTACTCTGTGGTCAAGCTAATTATTGTTATATTTTGTACTTTTGCATTTGCACCTATTCCCTTACGCATAGTGCACTACAGCTTTATATTGGTTTGTCGATTAAAAGGCAGGTACTGTAACACACATATTTAAACTTATCGGTTCACTGTAACAAACTAGTAAAGTCAAAGACAAGTTTTTTTTATGCACATATCTTTTTTGAACTTATGAGGATCTGTAATATCCATGAGTACATAATGGCACATCAACCAACCTCTCTCATCATTGTTTCTAATAAGCAAAGTACTACGCAAGCAACCACTACTAATTATATATATCGGCTTTGGGGAGTGTACGGCGTTCTGCATCTGCGACAATTTTATTTTACAATACCGCCAACATGCCCGCAAAATAATGTGCCTATCGCTTAGTAGTAGAACATTACACTCTATAAGTAAACACTTTAATATTCTGTCACAAACACACATAAATCCTTTTATTATAAAAAAACAATATTTATTCGTTGCTATTATTCTGGAGAAATAGTATTTTAGCGTGTGCGAGCGAAAATCTCATTACGCAACAATTAATAAAAACATACAATTAACATAAACTACTTGTAACCATAATTTTACTAATAAATGTCCGTGGCTATTATTTTATTTTGATAATTTTTTATTTTATAATTATGCCATTCGTTTCCGGTAAACTTATTAGACAGTTACAATTTATTAAATTAATATATGTTTAAATGGCGGTCCAATATAACAAATTAGGGAAAAAATTTTCTATTTATTATCAAAATGCTCGCGGACTGAGAACAAAATGTTTACAACTGCGACAGCAAATTTTGTGCAATGAATATGACATTATTGTAATCACAGAAACCTGGTTGCATGATGGGATCTTCGATCGGGAATTTTGCGATAACAGATATGACGTGTTCCGCCATGACCGTGATCTGGACTTAAGTTGTAAAAAAATTGGGGGAGGTGTTATGATACTGGTGCGCTGCGGACTAGGCGCGACGCGCTGCGAAATCGCCGCCGCGGTCGCTGCGGGTCTCGAGCCACGCACGGAGATTGTGACGGTGTCGGTGCCGGCGCGTGCGCTCACGGCCGCTGCTGACCTATTTATTATCGCGATTTATATTCCACCTGATTCAGGGCGTATTCCGGGAGATATAGAATGCCTACTGCAAACTCTTACAAGTACAATAAGCACAAACGGTTTACAGGGACATTTGTTAGTGATAGGCGACTTCAATATGCCATGTATATCATGGCACAGGGATGGCCCTGTACATACAAGTGGTTGTAATGTGGATGTGAGGGACACTGGAAACAGACTGACAGAAGAATTGAGAAGAATTGAGTTTTCTAGGGTTAAAACAATATAATACCAATATAAATCAAGCTGGCAATACATAAGACCTTGTATTTTCCGATCTTCCATTGGAAATCACTAACTGCACCTCAACCCTGGTTAATATTGATCGGGCTCACCCAGCTCTTGTAATAGAGGTCTTAGATATCACATTTACCCCTATAGTTGAAGCATCACTCCCAAAGCATAGCTTCGACAGAGGCGATTATGACAAAATAAATGAAGCGTTTGGTAACATCGATTGGCTATCTATGTTGGGCTCGTGTGGAGCTGAGAACGCTGGTAATATTTTTTATGATACCGTTAATAACATAATCTCAAAATATGTTCCTTATAAAACAACACATGGCAATCATACTTATCCATTCTGGTACAACCAAGCTCTTATTAAAATAATAAAAGAAAAAGCGAAGGCACATAAAAGGTGGAAAAAATACGGCAACTATTTAGATTATGACGAATTTTCATTTCTAGGTAAACGACAACAACGCGTGACTGATCATTGCTTCAAAAATTTTACAAAACAGGCTGAAAAATCTATTAAATATACACCAAAGGCATTTTGGTTTTATATAAAATCTATGCGCGGAGGATCGAACTATGCCAAACAAATGTCATACCGAGAAAACACAGTATCCAACGGGAGAGACATATGTGCTGCATTTAACGATTTCTTCAAAAACGTCTTCGGAGCCCCATCCACCGGGTCTACAGAAATTGAGTGTGATAGCATAGTTGGTGACGCCATTTCCAAAATTCTCAAAAGTCTCTGGTAGAGAAAAGATTAAATCTCCTCGACGTTTTAAAGGGAGCTGGATGTGATAATATTCCACCATTATTCTGGCGTAACTGTGCAAAGACTTTATGCACACCTATAGCCCTTATATTTAATATTTCACTTCGCGAGGGAGACTTTCCTAGAATTTAGAAAAAAGTACACGTGGTGCCTATACATAAGAAGGGTAGCAAAAGTAAAGTTGAAAACTACAGGCGGATCTCAATCTTAAATACAATTAGTAAAGTCTTCGAAAAAATAGTTTTTGATACCATATACCCTGTTATAAGTAAAGGCCTTCCAGCTACCCAGCACGGATTTCTCAGACAACGCTCCACTGTCACAAATCTCGCGTGCTTTTCGAACTATGTATTATCAAATATGGATGGCGGCGGGCAATTTGATGTGGTCTACACGGATTTCGAAAAAGCTTTCGATCGTGTGGACCACGTCATTCTTTTGAGAAAACTTCAGATATTGGGTATTCACGGCGATCTGCTCAGGTGGATCGAATCCTACTTACATAACAGGTCACAAGCTGTGGTGGTGGGGGGATACAGATCGGATTTCATTGACATACCAACAGGTATACCCCAAGGTTCCCATTTAGCTTACCTCTACGATATCATCAACTGTTTTACGTTTACACAACATTTAATGTACGCTGATGATAAAAAAATATTCGTCAAGATTCAAACTGAAGAGGACTGTTTTAAAATGCAACTTGATTTAGACGCCTTATTAAATTATTACTTAAAGAACAATATAACAGTTAATATTAAAAAATGTGAGTGCATTACTTTCACGAGAAAACCCAACCCAATATTATACTGCTACAACTTTAATGGAATACCAATTCATAGAACATCGACTGTGAGAGATCTTGGCGTATACTTCGATAGTAAAATGCTTTTGTCTGACCATGTTGACAAAATAGCGGACAAGGCTTTTAAAAATCTAGGATTTGTCATTAGGTCACGCAAACTTTTTAAAACATAAGTACCTTGAATGCCTTATATAATGCTTACGTTCGCAGTGTCATTGAATATGCCTGCCCGATCTGGTCCCCTCAATACGCCATTTACATAAATCGTCTAGAGCGCGTACAGAAAATATTTATCAAGCATCTTAATTATCGCGAACATAAACCAGCCTTACCAACCTATCAAGAGAACTGTGACCGATTTAACCTACTTAACCTTGAAGATAGACGTAAACTAGTGGATGTATGTCTACTGTACGACGTAGTGCACGTACGCATTGATTGCCCCGAGAAGGCGGTACCCTGACCAAAACCTGGCAAAAGTGCGTTTTTCAGAGACTATTATCTCATTGGTTATGAGAAATAAGCTGGTTGCGCGGAAAACCATTCGCGTTTTTTTTTTAATTTTATGACGGTAGGACTTGCTGAATCATTATTCCTTTCCAAAACGATATCATTCGTACCCTCCTATCGACACATCGGGGTGGTGGGGTGGGAGGGGAAAGAAGACGATTCTAGAACATCGCGTAATCATCGGAGCCGAGGATATATAAGACACGCGCGACCGACGCGCACTCTCTGTCTTCCCGCCGCAGCCGTCGTTGAACTACAACGCTTCTCTCCTGACGCACCCCTGGGGCCCCAGAGTGTCTGTCCAGAGGAGGTTCCGGAAGTCGCCGCTATAGTGCTCTAAAGGATAGAAGAACCCCGGTGAGTCAATATTCCTTAATTTACTGCCTGATTAATATAATTGTTTAACCCGTTCCAATTCTGTGTTCTCCTAATCAGGCAGGATTCCTTTTCATCGATTTGGCAAGTAATAGTTTAGTTTAGGGAAGAGCGAGTGCATTGTACCGCATGCTATAGTAGTCGCTTTTGCGTAAGCGTGGAAGCAATCGCATATACAGTCCACTTTAGTTAATATCTCGCGTAATAGGTTTAGGGTTTGACCGAGGAACTAGATTTTCGGCAGCCTTAAACACGTGGCTCCAACATAAGCTACATCTAAAAGCACATTATTAATGTTCAATATCCTCATATTCCACGTTCTAATTTGTTTTTATGTGTTATGAATACATTTAAAATCTACTTTTAAAAAATGACTAAAATTATTGATTACATGCATCTGTTGTTAAAGGAAATGCTCTAATCATTTGAGAATTACACTAATGGATAGATAATTTAAAAATCTATATTCTACACGTTTTATTTAATTTCTTAAGTTCGCTTATCTCTTTTAATTGAAATAATTCCAAATATTCGGGCGTATTTTTACGCGATATATTGTAGCGAGAGCGCGTGGATTGTATGGGACCGAACGCTCAAGGTCTCTCGCTAGGGGAACCGTCTTAATGTGCCTTTACGACGCGCTCGCCGCGCCACTCGCCGTCTGCCGCCCCTGTTAAGTGTGCCGCGCGCTGGTACTACGAGTAATTACGCGCGTAATGCAACCCTCTCGCGTCTACCCAGCCTTTACAACGAATTTTTTGGAGAAATTGATATTTTTAACCACAGTAAGAACGCTTTTAGGCGCTTAGCTATTGAAAGTCTTAGACCTAAAACCCAAAATAAAATTAAATAACATAACATAATTTATAACTTAAAGTAAAGTAAAATAATAATATTATACTGCTAATCTAGTGTATAATAAATAACTAGTGTGTCTTCGTGTATTTGTTTGTTAAAATAAATAACATGTGTGTATTCGTGTGTATTTGTTTGTTGCCGTTGAACAGTGTGTGATGTTAATGATTTCATTATTGTATATGTACATATTTTTCATGATTTTTTTTTTAAGAAACATTCGAATGTGCGTGCTGCCTGAGGGAACAGGTGCAACAATTCAATTTAATGTTTTAAGTGTAGATATGAGGTTATACCAACTGGCTACTAATTATTACGACCGTAGTATGCTATATTCATAGTAATTAATGGAAACCTGTTATTGGCCTTATTATAAAAATACTATTGTTTAATGTAAACTATATAGAACGCTGTTGGTTTCTTAATAAATTAAAAAAAGTATATACATACATCCGTTTTATAATAGATACCTATAATCGTCCCCAAGGAGGTAAATACGAATGGCATAATTATAAAATAAAAAAATATCAAAATAAAATAATAGCCACGGACATTTATTAGTAAAATTATGGTTACAAGTAGTTTATGTTAATTGTATGTTTTTATTAATTGTTGCGTAATGAGATTTTCGCTCGCACACGCTAAAATACTATTTCTCCAGAATAATAGCAACGAATAAATATTGTTTTTTATAATAAAAGGATTTATGTGTGTTTGTGACAGAATATTAAAGTGTTTACTTATAGAGTGTAATGTTCTACTACTAAGCGATAGGCACATCATTTTGCGGGCATGTTGGCGGTATTGTAAAATAAAATTGTCGCAGATGCAGAACGCCGTACACTCCCCAAAGCCGATATATATAATTAGTAGTGGTTGCGTAGTACTTTGCTTATTAGAAACAATGATGAGAGAGGTTGGTTGATGTGCCATTATGTACTCATGGATATTACAGATCCTCATAAGTTCAAAAAAGATATGTGCATAAAAAAAACTTGTCTTTGACTTTACTAGTTTGTTACAGTGAACCGATAAGTTTAAATATTGTGTGTTACAGTACCTGCCTTTTAATCGACAAACCAATATAAAGTTGTAGTGCACTATGCGTAAGGGAATAGGTGCAAATGCAAAAGTACAAAATATAACAATAATTAGCTTGAGCACAGAGTAGACTAACTTCAGAGAAAATAGGGACCAAAACGTTTCTTCATTTAACATATTATTGTGGAAAACAATTAAATTGTCTATTTTTATATTATTACGATTGTGATAAAGATTAGTAAAGAATATAATAATAAAAACGACATCAACTGTTGTTTGGTGATAATTTTCTTGAGATCCTCCTCGTCGAATATTTGCAGACCAGGAGATGTATTGTTTCGTCGCACAAAAATTCTTCCATTTTTTGTCCAGACGAACTGGCACTGACTCGATTTAGCAAAATCTTTGCACTTTTTTAGGAGCTGATTATTGTGAGAGGTTAAGTGCTCATTGATAAAAATTGGTCTGCTTTCACCTGCTAGCCCAATGTCCTTAGTGGTTAGACGATTTTTACGGGATAGAGATATTAGATTATCTTTCAGGAGCCTTGATTTCATTTTGGCAATAATCACCCTGGATCGACATGGCAGTTTTACTTTTGGGGATACTCTGTTAACCTGCAGAATGTCATTTGTATCGATTTTAACTCTGACGTGTTTACATATTCTCAAGATGGTATCATTCAAGTCCTCGTTGATTGATTCTGGTATACCGACAATTTCAATATTTAGCGTTCGGTCACGTTGCTCGTTAATGTTCATTTGTCGATTTAATTGTTGATTTTGTAGTTTAAGATTATTAATTTCCGAATTGAGGTTGTCGATTTTCTTTGTGAGCTCAAATAGTACTTCAAACTTTTTAGTGGTTTCATCATGCCAGTCAGAGTTAAACTGCACTGATTTTGGAGTGTGATTATTTCTTTTTGCATTTCGGATTGTTGTGCACTCAGCACTGCGACACATGATTTTGCTTCTGTATATTCCTTCCGAACATTTTTAATCTCTGTCTTCAGTTCCAGAGACTTTTCTTTTAATATAGTAAGATCTTTCTTAATAATATCATTTAATGTGTCGTTTATTTGTGATAAATTTTTATCTATCACTTTGGTAGATTGAGTTCTGAAAAATAATCCATGTGTGTCAAGAATCGATATCAAGTCATTTTATTCTTAATATTTCCCTAAATATTAAGAATAAATTCAAAGGGAAAGAAAACTCGAAAATCTCTACTTGACGGTTTTTGACGGGATTGTAGTGTTCTCTACAACGGGAGCTAGATTTTAATGTTGGCAACACTGACCGCTGATCAGTAGTGCCGTCAACGCCCGAGCGACAACACGTTAAATTTTTCTTAAAAAATGAGTTTCATAGATTCCGAGGAAGAGAAACTGATAAACCAGGTGTCCCAATATCACCCACTGTACCTTCTCTCAATTCCTCGGTATTTAACATGGAACGTGTTTCTTTTCGTCGTTTCTCCTTATATTTGTATAATAAAAATAAATCATCATCTTCTTCCTCTTCTAACAAAAGATGCAGAAATAAATCGCGATCGCTAATTTCAAGCACGTCAGACATCATGTCTCAGTCTCACTGAACACTCGGAATAGACTGGACACGGGCAGCTGCCGCCTGCAGTCGGCTACGGAATCGCACCTTTATGAGGAAGTTATTTTATCTGTTTTTGCCGCTTTTTAAGTTTAATTATTATTTATTTAATTCAGAAACGTTTCCATGGGTATTTTATTAACGGACTTTTATTAGCTTCGTGTGTATATAGTTATCTATCTATATATATAAGTATATAACACAATATTTTAATGTAATTTTCACCAACGTGTAGGCGTCCGATCGACTTGAAATTATGTACGATGACAAAACGTTAATTAAATAACTTTATTCTACTATCCCGATCAGGATCGCCAGGATAAAATAAAATAATAAGAGGCTTTATCTGTATGTGTTAATGTCATGTAATTTTGTAATCAGTATAACAATACAGTTTTCACCCACTTCTAAAACTCTGATTGATTTGAAATTTGCGACGCGATTTCAATACAATAATTTCATGACTATGACCTAGAATTCCCACTAGGTTCATCACAGCTGGTGATTAATTCGTGTTGTTGTTTATAGTTTTTTAAACTCCAATATCTATCTATATAAAACACAAAAAAATCTAATTATGTCCGCTATGACTTTGAAACTATTCAACGATGTGCCCCAAGTCAGTTTCATTAGAAAGGCAATAAAGCGAAGATGATTTTAACCACTAACACAATGCTTAGGCGCTATATGAAAAAGTTAAATCTCAAAAATAAAATTTTGAAAAACTGTTTTTTTTTTAATAACTTTTAAACGGCTTTACCGATCGATTCCAAAAACTAATCAGCTTTTAACTTTGAAAAACCACGTCGATCGCCGGCGATCCGGTCAAAGTAGGTTGATTCATTCGTGAGATATAATTAACGAAAAATTTTGAAAAAATTGATTTTTTAAATTACTCCCATATTTCATATTCAACGTCGTAATTTGGTGAAATTTGGAACGCTTTGCATTTGAAATTAGTGGGAAGTTCCAGAGAAGGCCAACCATTTTTTTTTCTAACAAATAAACAAAATGTATCTTTAGCTAATTATATTATATTCATAATAATATTACGTTAGTTACTTTCTTGTTGCTATTTTATTAAATTAAATTGAAATAAATTATAAACATAAATAAAATAATTTATTATTTTATGTTTTTTTCTAGAACAGTTCATCGTACGGGATAGATATAAAAATCCATCTAGTTCAGCTGCTCCACGTGACCGGTCGATGATATATTTTACGTCAAAGTAAAATTACAGTCTATATTTCACACGTGACAAAAGTCACAAAAGTGAGAGGAGTACTGTGCCAAGAAGTGGGACTGTTTGGCAGTACTCCTCTCACTTTTGGGAGTGTTTTAGGGCAAGGAAATGTCTACTGCGCTACGCCAATGCATGTTGGCAAACTTCATATGTTTTCGAAATACTTTTTTATTTCTCAGACATTCAGGTCTTCAAATCAGCACTTAAAATTGCAATTAGCAATTTCATTGGTGCCGGCGGGGATTGAACACGGGTTGCTCGGGTACTGTGATATTTACAGACAGTGCTAAGTCACTGAGCTATCACGGCTCACATCAAAGTAACTGAATAGTTATAGCGCCATCTATAGTAAGCCGTAAGGTACAGTACTAGTACTTTTTGCGACACCCACGAGAAGAAACAGTTGATAAGTTGAGAAGAAATTGTTTTGTTTCTTGTTTGTGCGTATAGTGGTGGCGCTATACACATGTCATTCTCTGGAAGGAAAATCTGCCAAGAGTGCAGCCATACGCCGTTACAGGGAAAGTCTGCACGTAGGCCTCCCCATAGAGGGTCTAATGCATTACACTTGCCACAGCTGCAACGCTGGCAGGCGGGTTGGTGACCGCAGTTATTATTTTTTAAGCTGTTATTAGGAAGCTGCTGAACTTCTGGTTTGTTTGCCGCCTGTCACCTCTTACGACGCCCACGGTACGATATGGGGTTGTGGATATTCTTACAACACTAATGTCCTCCAGACCGCAATTCAGTCACGGCGGCCAGCCTCAACGGAGGCTAGCCATCTGTGCAGGACAGGATTATAGTGCCCGAGTGTATGCGCAAGCACAGGTGCACTCTCTATTGCCTCACTCTCATAGTCCGATGAGACGGTAAACCGACACGACCGGAGAGAGATCAGGTACAGGACCAACGGCTTTACGTGCTTTCCGATGTACGGGGGTGAGACACCGCCAACTTCCTGAATCCGGGCATCTACTGAGAATTTTTGACGGAAAAACTCAATTAACAGATTTTTGGCCCGACCCGGGATTCGAACTCGGGACCTCACCATCAGCGGTCGCACTACTACGACCACTAGACTAACGAGACAGTCACCACTACTTTTACACACTACACGGTCAAGAGCACATCATGATTGTATGCAATACTTGCTAATCGTTGTCTTCATAGTAGTGCTAGCAGCATGTTCGGAACTCCTGGGCGCACTGCTGGGAGCCCACGAAGCGCACGGGGAGCCTGTGCTCGTCATAGATGGCGCGGAACCCCGACACCTTCGAACGCTCCTGGACTACATGTACACCGGCGAGATGAGTGTACACCATGTGAGTATTGATCACATTGTTAATAGGTCCAAAGCCTCATGCCAAATGCAAATGTCATCTGTCACCCGTGAGAACTAAAATAGAACGCCTTTTAACTAAAAAGAGTCTCCGTTATGCTGTTTTCTTACGCTGGTATTTATCACCTGTGGTATCACCCGGTCTGTCATCACTAGCAACCATAACCATATGGTGACCCATTATATTTTTTATAACAACTAGAAAGCCCAGATGTGGTAGTTCAGAGTAAATTCATCATGCCCGGTTTCTGAAGTTCCCAGTTATATTCCCATTTCCCATTAGCTATTGATTCAATTTTTACCACGTGCTCGGCGGTGAAGGAAAACATCGTGAGGAAACCCGCATGTCTGAGGAATAAGAAAAAAAATATTTGGAAGACATGTGAAGTTCGCCAACATGCATTGGGGCAGCGCGGCGGACACTTCCTTGCCCTAAAACCCTCTCAGAAATGAGGGAAGGCCTGTGCTCAGCAGTGGGATGCATATAGGCTGTAACTTTACTTTTTTAACTTTTATTGATTCAATAAAGTTATCTATAAGATATCCGTCGGTTAACTGTCATTGCGTTTCTGAATACCAAACCAACCGTTCAACAAACATGAAACCAATAACAAGTTCCATAATTTGCCACTAGACGAGTCTGTTTCGACTCATCGAAGACATCGAGTCTAAAATTGTTTTTTTTTTATTTCAATTCTTCAATTATACTAGTATTATTCATAAAATATTCTTTTTTGAGGCTAAATAAGTGAATATGCACTGTTTTAGCAATAAATTAAGATAATTCAATATTTATCAGAGACTCTATGGAGGACATCATTGTACTGTCAAATTGTTTAAAAAGAAAACATCATACTCACCGTAGACCACTGACCTCTATATATACAAGTACGCTGGACTGGCTATACACCATGACATGATGAAGCGATTTAATTTCCGCCATTTTGGCGCTGACAGCAGAAGTGCACGTCCACGGAACTAATAATAGTGATAACACAGTGTACCAAATTATATCGATAAAAATTCTATACCCTACCTATACCTAAATAAATAGAATGGACTCTATGGATAGATGGACTCTACCCGTAACGTCCATTCTATTTATGTATCATAATAATATAATGCAATTATTCTTATTATAAATATTCATCATCACTAAAACCCTTCACAAGTCCACTGCCGAACATAGGTCTAAATAGGACCAGGTGGAATAGGTTAAATACCGTGCGTGCCCAAGGAATGCCACAAAGCACGGTCCTGAGTTACCTGCATCCATCAACTTCCTGCATATCTTACCAGGTTTTGACTCCATCTAGTGGGGGAACGTCGTACACTTCACCTGCCGGTACGAGGCTGCTACTCGAGAACTTTTTTCCCCATCGGTATTCGGTTCTTCGAGCTATATGGCCGGTCAATTGCCACTTCAGCTTACTAATCCATTGGTCGATGTCGATCACTCTGGTTCGGCTGCAGATATCCTCATTCCTATGTTTGAACCCTTGAGCATAGCCCTCTTCATAGCTCGCTGAGCGACTTTAAGCTTCCTCATACGGCCAGCAGTGAAAGACCTCGTCTCAGATCCATAAGTCATCACTGGCAACACGGACTTGTTGTACAATCTATTTTTGAGGTATTCCTGACGAGAAGATGTGTTGTAATCTCCCTAACGCTGCACAGGCGAGTTGAATCCGTCGATTGACCTGTCGGTCGAAGTTGAACTTACCTAGTCGGACTATTTGTCCCGAGAAAAATACTCGTCAACAACTTCAGCTAAGTGCTCCCAAAAACCACCGCCAAAAGTGTGACATGGACATTACACATGACTTTTGTTTTGTCCATGTTTATCTTAAGACCTATCCGTTGGGAGACACTATTGAGGTCATTGAATATAGTGTGTAGGTCCTCCAGCGATTCTGCCATAATGACTATATTGTCGACAAATCGACGGTGAGTGACGTATCCTTTCCAGTCCAGTAGCTTGAAGACGTCTTCCAATACAGCAGTAAAATATTTCAGGGATATCACGTCACCCTGTCTTACACATCTCTACAGTAATTGGATTAGTTTTGTACTCTGGTTCTGTACTCGGATAGCCATCGTAGCCCTTAGACCATTCAACAAAAAATTATTAAGATTAAACTATCTACACAAAATAAAAATAAAGAACATAGTTTCTAAAATAATTTATTGTCAACCGTTCATTTAGTTCTAGTATTGTAAAGAAAAACAAATCAGCTGCTATAATTACGCTTATTCTAATTACCTACAGGTCTGTCTATAGACAGTAAATAAATATTTTCTACTATATAAAATATTTATGTTTGTTCGTACTTTCTACGATGCCATACACACTTGTGCGAAGGTTATACGCATGGTACAATTAACTGACACTAGGTGGCGTACAACTGCTATTATACTGACTATTTATTTGAAAGTTAGAGAAAGTTATATATCATTCTATTTCAATGATTGTATTATCATTCCTAATTGTTACGGATCGCCGTAACGCCGTTCGAAAAATGAATAAAACGCGTTGTTCTTGCTTATATCTTCGTCCTGCCCAAGCAAATTAGAACCTGTTTGGTAATTCTGCCCACTGTTCTCTTCAAAGTACAAAATCTTACAAGTGCTTCCTGCCCAGAATAATAAGAACAAAAAAAAGGTCTTGCATAAGATGTAGATTTTTTATATTTTTTTATGGCAGTAAATAGATCATAATGAAACGATTCACGCTATTTTTAAAATCATACATTTTGTTCTTTTTACAGTACAATGGGCAGAATTACCAAAATGAGCTGTATTTTATTTGTCCTTCATAAAAGACACTGGGTACAATAGGGTAAATAAAACAAGAGTAACTTTTTATGTTATTTATTATGTATTTTTAATCAGTCTTGAATTTTCATCTCTTTATTTAGTAATTAATGTACTAACTTTTATGGCAGCCTCTCTGGACTTAAAAATAATTAAACAATTCAAACAAAAAATAAAATTAACCAAAACCTTCTCTTAATTTTAGTAAACTTTAAAAAATCAAATCCTTTTAAAAAATAGTTAGGAATGGAAATCAGCAAAGCAATTTCTTTGCTTAGTTAAGTACAAGTTTATATGACATGAACTACATTTAAAGTGTGTTTTGTTATAATGGCAGGACCTGCACCTGAACTGTTTCTCTTCCAATATAGGCATATGTTTTGCCTAAGAAGTGCGGCGGCTCTTATTTGGAAGAGTAATAGTTTGTCTTCCCCTTTTTCGTGGAATATTCTGGTTAGTCTGTAGGTCACTATCATCAGAGCTCTCTTGATTGTTTGTGCTTCGAAGGATTTCTTCTAACAAATCTTCCCCAAGTTGTAATTTAAATTCTCGAAGCCTCAGTATTTTTTTAACTGGTACACCTTTTTTTAGCTCATCTTTTTTAAATAGAAGCCAACCGTTACTGACAGCCAAATCAATCATATGAGACAAGAATCTCTGTGTCCATTTATTAGTTTTGTATCTATGAGGACAGACTGCAAGTAAGCGATCGGCTAAATCAACGCCACCCATATTTTTATTGTATTCGCGTACAACTTGTGGTCTTGTAACAGTTAGTTAGTTTTTGTTTTTTTTGCACCAGCGTTGACAGAAATCCGAGTTTTCCTCGGCCTCAATAGTCGATAAAATAATAACTGGCTTGTTGTCAAACCATTTAGTAACAGCCAATTTACCATCTGGCCTCACCAGCACCTGAGTGCTTTCTCTGCCTTCAGACTTCATTATTCGATCATCTTTTAGCTGACACCCATGTGGGATACGGTTTTTCATCAAAGTACCAGTACAAAGTATCCCTCTGTCGTAAAGTTCATCTGCCAGTTTCTGAGAAGTAAAAAACTGATCGAAATATAGCACGTGACCCGGAACTAGCTGGTCCGCAAGTGCCAGTACAGCCTTTTCTGCTAGACTGAAGTTAGTGTTTTCGTATTGGGGGTAAGTTGTATTTCCCTGATAAATGTCAAAGTCGCATACTACTCCATTCAGATTTGCCAGCACGAAAGCTTTCAAACCTGTAGGGTGTGGTTTTCCAGGACAGTACTGCCTTATTCCGCAGGTCCCAGTGAATGGAACTATCATTTCATCCACAGAAATATTTTTATTTTTATTTTGTAGACGACAACCTTTCTGAACATGATCAATTAGTGGCCTCATTTTAAAGACTTTATCTTTGGCTTTTTCTTCAGGTGTGATGTCATCATCAAAAACAAATTTCAACGAGTTTCGTAATTGTTGGAATCGATTTCGCGACATATTATCAGCCACAACTGGAATCAACCATCTTTTCGACCAGTACATTCGAAGAATTGGATAGTAGATACTAGCCATTATTAAACACAATGCAATATAAATTTTCAGTTCCGACAATGTTAAATTTAAACTGTTACCTGTTAATTTAACAGCATTTTGATTTGTATTCTCGACATATATTGTTAATATTCCGTCGTCGAAGTACTGGCCAAAATAGTAAATCTTGGAAAAATGTTCTGAATTAACGGTCTGGTATGACGGTTCTGTTAAAAACGTTGAATAGGGGAAATTCTTGCTGAGACCAGTCCGTAGTTGACGGTATATTGTCTATTCTGCTGCCAGTGCTGTTACGTGCACGCCCACGCGACCTTCCTCTTGACCGTCCACGAGAAACTCCCCGCGTGCCTCGCCTAGTCCTTCCGCGAGCTTGTATAAATGATGTACTTATATCAGGTCAATCACTTTCTCCCTCCGTAGAACTCATACTGCTTTCTGGTCGTACGAATTCCGGATCGTCGAAATCATCATCGGAAGGCACGAAGTCCCCAATATCGGAATCTTCTAATAAATTGCCGATGGTTTCATCATCCAATTCTGCGAAAAAATCACAATTTACGAAAAAGTTCTGCCCGATGTGATTTTTGCATCACATAATATTACTGATGTTTACTAAAAATACAATTATTAACGAAAATCAAAAATTGTTACAAAACTCAAAGTATTGATTATTTAACTTTAATCCTGTTTATTTTTAATAAAGAAAAGCTACCGATCTAAATGATAGTAAGAGATTAAACATACCTCTTCTCCGACGTGACTCCATGTTTAACACGTAAATGGCTTCTGACGTTAATCTGTTGTCCATTACTCGAATAGATTTAAGGTTCACTTATAGGTTATAACCTAACCAATCACAGGAAACTTCAAAAATGACAGCTGAGTAGAAAATACAATTTCTAGGCGCAAAATTTGAATATGTGATTTTTGAAAGACAGTGGGCAGAATTTAGAATTTTACAATATTTTAAATGGGCAGGAACAGTGAAGTATGTTTTGTGATTTTGAAATCACAATGGGCAGGACGAGGATATAGGAGGCAAGCGGCGGTGAGGAGGAACTTGTACTTTTTTCTTCTTGTAGTGCCTTTTCAGTGGCTGGAGAGCGACGACGGACCCTACCGGCCGGTCCGTCTTTTATATGATTCGGCCGCTGCTGGCCAGCGGACCCTTGCCTCACCCCCGCGCCTTTCTTTATTTCTTTAAAACTCTTATTTATTAACAAACATAATCGAATATGTAATATTCTGACATCTATTTCTTATACTATTATGTATACAATAATTATCTTACACTCTAAAAGGTTTTAAAGCTTGTAATTTACAATTTTTAAGCTGAGAACCCTGCCCCGCACCTCAGCACTATAAATATAAAACGTCGTGGCGCCCTACAAATCCTGTTCACCAACGACATTCCCATCCCGTCGAAAGGTGTACAACTCTCCCTCTTTGCAGATGACACTGCCATCTACTGCAAAGGTGTCTCACTACCCCTTATACGGAACAAGATCCAAAAGTCAGTTGATGATCTAGGAGCTTGGTTCAAAAAATGGCGCATCGATGTGAACCCGGAGAAGAGCTCCGCCGTCCACTTCGATTATAAACGACGCCGTCTCAAAAACACTCCACCAATACGTATGCTAGGGACCCCTGTCCTCTGGCATACGTCCGCCAAATATTTAGGTGTCACTCTAGACACAGGGCTCACTTTCAAGCCCCACGTCAAAAGAGTAACCCGTCACGCACGGTTTTATCTGAGTAGGCTCAACAGTATGTTGGGCCGACACAGTAAAATGTCCCTTCGAAACAAGCGTACCCTCTACCAAACCATTTAATTCGTGAGGCAGCTTCTTATGCAGCCCCACCCCCCTCTCGCTATCGTGTCCGCAGGCCGAGAAACTCTCTCTCGGACCCGCCTAATAAACTTTCAAACGACCTGAACTGTCTCCTGGCGGCTCAGGCCAACTCTAATTAAATAAAATTATTGTAATATCTAACATTAATTTGCCTTCGTAGGCACTCCCTCAGCGGCACTTAGCCGCCTGCGCCCTCTTTTCCCAAAAGAGGGTCGCTCATGATAAGGCACAATAGAGCTTAATCAGCCGGTTGCCTGTCCCCAAAGGCGGTTTTTAGAGGGTATCATTTAGGGTCCCCGGTAGGACAGTGAGCCCCTCATAACCACGATAGACCGGCTATCGTGGTATGCGTAATGCATTTTCCGCCTCCCTACGTATAGGGTAGCCCTTTAATTGCTTCGGGCGCAAAAAAAAAAAAAGCGCCCTACGCATTCCGCCTGTGGCATCGCTTCCGAGCGGTCGCATCCAGGTAGTCCGCGCTTTCGGTCCTGTACGGTAGTGCTCTCCCGCTCTCGCGCCCCCGCTGTCCCGCTCGCGCTGTACAGCGCCGACGCAGTGCTCAGTCCGCCGGCGGCATCGGGGGTGCCCCCGCGCCTTTCTTTATTTCTTTAAAACTCTTATTTATTAACAAACATAATCGAATATGTAATATTCTGACATCTATTTCTTATACTATTATGTATACAATAATTATCTTACACTCTAAAAGGTTTTAAACCTTGTAATTTACAATTTTTAAGCTGAGAACCCTGCCCCGCACCTCAGCACTATAAATATAAAACGTCGTGGCGCCCTACGCTGCGCCCTCCTTTCTGCCAAGGAGGGTCGCGTTCGTATATGGCTTAGAGATCTCTAGTCAGATCGTTAAGCCAATTCCCAAAAGGTTGAGTTTAGTGGGTAAAAGTCTCCACATAACCACGCAGCCGGCTGCGTGGTATGCTATGAGCATTCTCAACCTCCCTCCCCCGCTTTCCGGAGGGTTGCCCATATTTGCTTCGGGCGCAAAAAAAAAAAAAAAAGCGCCCTACGCATTCCGCCTGTGGCATCGCTTCCGAGCGGTCGCATCCAGGTAGTCCGCGCTCCCGTACAGTACGGTAGTGCTGTCACGCTCTCACGCGCCTCCGCTGTCCTGCTCACGCGGAACAGCGTCGAGGCTGCCGCTGAGTCACTTCACGCTACAGTTCTTGCCCCCCTGTCTTCGGGCAGGGAGGTCTGACTGACCTCCGCTTTTCATTTTCACTTTTCATTTCATTTTCATTTATCATTTTTATTATTCTATTATTTTATTATTTTCTTGTTATTCTTGTATTATTATTACGTGGATAGTGTGTCGTAGTACGTCTCGCGATCTAGTCCCTGTTCTACCGAGAACAGGGACCCGTCCTCATCTTTACCAAGTTTAGCTTACTGCCCCAAAATGGCCACACCCAGCTTCGCTGAGTCCCTCGCCGCCCTCCTAAACCAATATGGTTTAAATGGCAATGAGACGGTCCTCGCCGCCATCGCCACCATCGCCGCCCAGGCTCCCCTCCCTGCCCCTCAGGCACACCAACCGCCGCCAGTAATCGCGTCATACCTCGAAACGAGGAACTCCTTTGCCCCCCCTTGAATCTGCCCCCTTAAAAATGGAGTACGCATGCTCCGAGTCCTCGGCGCCGTCCTCCCGGAAGAGGCGCGCCACTACTACAGGCTCCGGTTCATCGGAGTCCTCTGACTCCGACGGAACCGGGGAGTCCACATTCACTGCCGTCAACTCCAAGCGCAACGGAAAGCGCGCCGCGATAAAACGCACCCCGCCTATCTCAGCGGCCCCTGCCGCTCCTCCAACTTCCGCAGCCCCCGCCGCTGCCGCCATCCCGCTCATGTCCCTTGACATCCCAACCCCTTCCTCTCGATGTGCTCCAGTCCTTGCTAAGAAGCAAGTCCCACCCCCTGTCTTCCTAAGAGACAAGGCCAAATTCACCAAACTGTCGAAAACCTGCTACGACGCAGGAATTAAGTACGACAATGCCGTCAACCTCGGGGAGGCTATCAAAATCATCCCCAGCTCGGATCGAGGATTTTCGAAAACTCACCAGGCTTTTCACAGCCGAACGAGTCTCCTACCACACCTACGCTCTCCCGGAAGAGCGTAAAGTCAGGGCCGTCATCCGAGGCGTCCCCTTCGAGTTCTCGAACGAGGAAATACTTGAGGACCTTAAGTCCCAAGGCTTTCCCGTCGAAGCCGTGCACAAAATGCACAGTAGGACGGGCAAAAGATTTAACTTGGCCCTAATCATCCTTTCCAACGTGCCGGAGGCTACAGCCATCTTCCGGCAGGTACGCACAGTGTGCGGCCTGTCGAGGGTGAAGGTCGAGCTCCCACATAGGCGCGGTTTCCCGGCGCAGTGCCACCGCTGTCAACTTTATAGTCACGCGGCGGCCAACTGCTCCGCCCCACCCAGGTGCGTAAAGTGCCTCGAACCCCATAACACGAAAGAGTGTCCCCGGCCCAAAGACGCCGAATCCCCGCCGGCTTGTGTCCTGTGCAAACAGACAGGACATCCGGCTAACTACAGAGGTTGCCCGCGCGCACCTCAACCTCGCCCCAGTCGGTAAGCTCCACCGCCGGTAAATGACCGCTCATTCCCGGCCCTCCAACAACGGCCCCGTCAGGGCCTTTCTCAGCCCACCCAGGGCTTCTCTCGACCCTCTCTGGGTCCCCCTAGGCCCCCTCAAGGCATAATTCGGCCCCCTCCGGGCATCTACAAGCCAATGCAGCCTCCAGTCTTTCCCTGGGGGCCCAAAAAGGCAGACCCACCGCGGACAACCTCGTACGTACATGAAGCAGAGCCCACACCTGACGACTACAACGCACTATATTCCGCTATTAGGAATATCAATGTTAGGGAAATCACCGTAGTAGCACGCAAACTGCGCGCGGCGAAGTCCCCCCAAGAACGTCTCCTCGTTCTCGCTGAACACAACAATCTTCTATTAGCGTTGTAAGTTAAGTTAACTTAATTAACTTAACTTCAATGACTGAGCAAATCGCTTTACCTAAATCTCACGGTCGTATCAAACCTAAGGGTTTATCGCTTGTATCATTTAATATTCGCGGCTTGCGAAATAACCTCCCAGAGCTTAAGCTCTTTCTTCGGAATCGTGAAGTCGATTTCCTCCTCCTACAGGAAACTAATCTCAAAGATAAGGACACTAGAGGCCTTTCTATTAAAAACTTCTCTCTTCTTCGTAACGACAGACCCGACCGCCGAGGCGGCGGAACGGTCATCTTACAAGAAGACACTTCATTGCTCGCCCATTTCAACTCCACAGCTTACCAACATGGAAGCCACGGTATGCAGGCTAGCTATGACTGGACATCAGTCCATCCTCATAGCCTCCTGCTACATCCCTTCAGGAACCTATCCCCTCAAAAAAGATTTTGAGGTCATTTTATCTTTAGGCAATTCAGTCATTATGTTTGGAGATTTTAACTCCAAGCATACTGAATGGACATGCCGCACTACGTCCCCCTAGTAGCAAGATACTGCTCGATATCACGCAGTCTCTTGATATTACCGTCCATAGTCCTCTCGGTGTTACTCACTTTCCCGATAACACCGATCACGCCCCCGATGTGTTAGATTTTGCGTTACTCCAAGGAGTTTCTCTCAACCTCAGAGCAATCGAGACACTAGACGATCTAGGATCAGATCACCGACCGGTCTCCCTCATTCTTGGCCATCAGCCACCTCCCCCAACACACACGAAAACCTTCACTAACTGGAAGGGATTCAAGGAGTCCCTAGCTAAAGCTGGACCTACCATCTCCCTACCGTCGGACTTAGATAGTCCCGAAAAAATCGACACCGCGGTCGATTCACTCTCCACCCTTATTAAATCCTCCCTTAAGGAGAACGAAAGGGTCGTCCCGGTTGCTAACAATAGTGGGCTTCCCCTACATATTAGCAAC